TTATAATTCAATGGATCAGTCTCTCTTATTGATATATGTATATCGTGTATGGATTACCTCAACATTGCCATTAAGTCACAAACATTAAAAGAAGAGTTGATAACCATCATCCATCTCTGTTTCGTAATTCTTGTCAATTAAAAACTTGAATTTAACTTTAGAATTCAATCATTAAAACAAATAGTCCTTCTGATAAATTTCGATAATGGAATGAGAAGTTATCAGAATTATGTGATATGTATGTGTAATACATCATATGCGCACTAGTAGCTGGCTCCAAGATGATTTCGTGAAGTTGTAGTGAAAAACCGTTACCAATCGAGGCTAATCGGTGTCGGGTAAAGACAGTTATCTACCTTAGACAATCGATGAATGGTTGCACAGCCATTCATAGATCGATGGAGGTTAAATATAAACACGGTTGAATACCAGCTCAGTGGTCTAGAGGTTAAGCGTTCGCGCGCTAAATCAAAATTCCTGTATTCGAATCCCGCGTGCGCGATCGTTGATGCGCACTATTGAGGAGGCCCGTACTGGGACGAAACGACCGTCTAGTGAATTCAGGTGTTCCATCGTAACCTACCTTACATCGACTCATGAATTCAATCATTAAAGTCAATACATTTCAAAAAATCTGATCACATCTATACTTGTTAAGATATATTTATATGAAAACTAAAATGTCAACTAAACAGATTAAAGGTAAGCCATGATGAAATAATAAAAATAATATACACAAAAACAATATGATAACCCCTATGGATAATAAATCAGTATTACCAGGGTAGATTAACGATAAAAACAAATCGTTTTTGAATACATAAAAGAGATTTCAGTTTCCATATAGGCCAATGCTTCAATAAACCTTAATATACACTTGATATTCACAATTGATTGATCACTGGGTGGTGACCAATGTCAAGCGTGTCTAGTCCTTATTATTAGTGCAGATCGAATGTTATCGATCATGTTGCAATGTGGCCACCAGTCTAGGTGACTCGACACTGTGGGCACTATTGTAAGATTAGATGGTGGTTGAGGCTAGTCGACAGGAAACCCTGGAGTCGGGTCACCACCCAGTGATCAATCAATTGTGATTACATCTCATTCCTACAGAAAGCTGGTCGCGGCCCAGATAGCTCAGTGGTAACGTCTCTGACTATGAAGCTGGGTGACACGGAATCGAATCTGTCAGAGAGCACCAGTTCCCTAAAGATTACAGGTACACCGTATTGACGAATGTCAAGTAGCACGAAACCTGAGTCCAGGGTTTCCTGTTGACTACCTCCAACCACCATCTAATCTTACACTTCATATTGTTTATTTGAATCTTCCCATTGATTTTTAGGACTACAATTGATCAATCTTCTATAGATACATGTACATACTGTATGTATTGCCTTGATATAGCCTTAATTCACATGTATTATATATAAAGATGGATAGTGGTTAGTAGTAGAATCTAGTTTAACACATGTTTCATCGTAACTTGGGACTCGTCAGTTGTGAATGTCCTTGTATTTCAGAGTTGATATTCACTCTGGGATTCAAATTATTTCGGCCTCCAAGTGCCCTGGTATGGCCGAGAGTCGGGAGAGTCCGCTCTCCCTCTCGAAGTGCTCTCACATGGCCACGCGTATATAACCTCTGCCAGGGAAATCGTACTTACTGCCTTTTCGTCACACCGGTGTTGTTTACGAAAATGAAAGGACGAAAAGCGAATATCCGGTGCTTTAACCGGATCCCAAAACAATGATGCACATGGGCTGGCTCCAGTATCCTGAAGGAACAAATGGCGTATGAACTAATCGTTGGTTACCGGCCATCATGAGACTGCATCTCATTACGATGCTCCACTGCCTTGTGGGTCAGACAGTCAGATCGAAGGCTCGGGGTGTAGCCCCCTGAGAAAACCACCTATTTCAGTTTGGGCACCCAGGCAGTATCACAGCCCTCACACAAATCACTTGAGATTTGTGTGGCGTATTTATATTTGGTTCCCTCTTGTACCAGTATTTATGTGTTAAAATAAATAAATAAATAAATACCGTTTATTTAGTATATACCCCTTGAAAGCTTTTTTATACAACATAATGAATATCTTAGCAACTGCATATATATAGGATCTGATTTAATTAATTAATCATTTACTTTCGATTACATAATCAATAATTTCTTTCAATCATTATTGATTAATATAAAATTGTATAGAAACCTTTTCTTTATTTTTGTTAAATAAAAAAAGAGAAAAAAAATGTCATTTATATAGGTGAATTGAAAAATTTAAAAAAAAAAACTAATCAATTTTTTCAAATGAGAAATCTCACTTAGCAACAATGAAAAAAAAAATACAAAAATAAAAATCAATTTTAATCTGAATCGATTTTTTTTTGTTGTTGTTGTTGTTATTGAAGATCATTGGTAAATACATTTTAATGGGCGTTATACAATTTAAAGTTTATATATTTATTTTAATCACTCAGGAGTCACATACTAGGATGAAACGGCCGTCCAGTGCTTCCAGGTTTTCCATGGTGGTCTAGCTTCAATGGATTCATGATTTCAACCAGTGAAATTTCTAAAATCTCCACACAATCCCTTCTGATAATAATAATAATCATCTGCTCACTAGTGACTGACTTCAAGAGGCATTTCCTGAAGTTCTATTGAGAAGCCGTTACTAGTGGAGTTCAACCAGGTCTGTTGTGAGATATCAGCTCACTGATGACAATGGTGTACGGTGGTGGAACTTCGTGGATTTGTTAAAGTTAGACATAACACCGTTGGATGCCGGCTCAGTGGTCTAGTTGGTTAAGCGCCTGGCGCGAGACTGATAGGTCGTGGGTCCAAATCTCACGAGCAGAGGGGTCGTGGGTGCTCACTGCTGAGGAGTTCCATACTAGGACGAAACGGCCGTCCAGTGCTTCCAGGTTTTCCATGATGGTCTAGCTTCAATGGATTCATGATTTTAACTCAGCTTTTTGACAATAAACCTACCTTGTCAGATGCATTACAAGAAAGGATCGGTGTCAGTTAAGAGTGTCTATTCTCTCCTTTTCTCTCTTTTTTTTGGTAGTCGACTAGATTACGAAGATCTCAACATGTGAGTGGAAGCACAGAATACAATGGATCACTTGGATGCAACTAGATGATTTGAACTCTGCAGATAACCCAACTCTTTCTATCTCATACACACTAACAAATGCAGATTAAGACAACTAGTGTAGTAGTAGCCTCTTCATCAGTAGGTTTTAATATACACAAGGGAAAATGCAACATCCTCAAATACAATACGAGGAACACCAATTCAATTACACTTGATAGAGAATCTCTGAAACAAGTGTAATCTTTCACGTAACTGGGAAGCATCATTGATAAACAAGCAGAATCTGATGCAGATATAAATGCAAAGATTGGCAAAGCAAAGGTCGCATCCATACAATTGAAGAATAGATGGAACTCAAAACAACTATCAGTCAGCCAGTATCAAAGTTACAATCTTTAATACAAAATGTCAAGATAGTCCTACTCGAAGGAACTGGAACTCAAAGAAATACTACAAACGTCATCAAGAAGGTACAAGTATTTATAAACAATTGTCTATGTAAGATACTCATTATCGGTGGCCACACACACGATCAGCAACAGCCTACTATGGGAGAAAACAAACCAACTTCCAACTGAAGAGGAAATCAGAAAAAGACAATGGATTGTTCTTCATGATTAACCGTATATTAATGCAGTGCCCTACTATAATCATTTTACATTCTTTAATGTTAATTAACATGAAGTTCTATTGAGAAGCCGTTACTAGTGGAGTTCAACCAGGTCTGTTGTGTGATATCAGCTCACTGATGACAATGGTGTACGGTGTTGGAACTTCGTGGATTGGTTAAAGTTAGTTTAGTTTTAAATATGTAAGCTTTCTATGAAACCACAGTAAAATGGATATAATCCTTCTGATACCCCTTCCAATAGAAAGAAAATGATAAACCAACTGGTTGACATAATACTAACAAGCAAAGTTATGTGTAATAAAATATTAGATCAGTAATACACGGACTTACTTACTTACTTACTTACTTACCTACTTACTTACTTACTTACGCCTGTTACTCCCAATGGAGCATAGGCCGCCAACCAGTATTCTCCAACCCACTCTGTCCTGGGCCTTCTGGCAACGACGCCAAACTCTGCCTAGAGTCCCTTCGGGGGCTACTGCCGGTCCCAGGCCCAGATAAAGGAGGAGGGTTGGGCATGGGGTTATCGACCCCATCCCTAGAAAACTAACTCGCTAAAAAAACGCTAACCAGAAAAAAATACAACGATACTATTCCATAAAAACTGTTAACAGCTGAAGGCGAAATTAAGTACAGACTATAGAAATGGATAGGACATACATTACTCAAATCATCAAACTGCATCACGAGACAAGCGCTAACTTGGAATCCTGAATGGAAACGGAAAAGAGAAAGACCAAAGAACACATTACGTCGGAAAATAGAAGTAGATATGAAAAGGATGAATAACAACAACTGGATAAAATTGGAAAGAATTACCAAGAACATAGTTGAATGTAGAGTGCTGGTGGGTGGCCTATCCTCCTCCACAAGGAGTAATAAGGCATAACTAAATAAGCTAGATAGGTGTTACATCATGATTAGAGATATTGAAGAGCCCATAGATGGTAGCCTTGCATAGGATAGTTTAATAGAGAGCATTCATATCTCACAATGAATACAATATATTTGTTAGTTCTTTATGAAAATTTAACTATACAACAAATAAAAGTTTTTCTCATTCTAGTAAACTTAAACTGTTTCATTGAAATAGGCATATAACTCTTTTAATTGTTGAATGTTTCAATTGTTGAGATTATGATTCAATTGAAGCTAGACTACCATGGAAAACCTGAAAGTACTGGATGACCATTTCGTCCCCATGTAGGACTCCTCAGCAGTTAAATGTTTATTTACAAATTTGATTGTAATAAATAAATCTTAATGATGATGATGATGATGATGATGATGATGATGATGATGATGATGATGATGATGATGATGATGATGATGATGATGATGATGATGATGATGATGATGATGATGATGATGATGATGATGATGATGATGATGATGATGATGATGATGATGATGATGATGATGATGATGATGATGATGATGATGATGATGATGATGATGATGATGATGATGATGATGATGATGATGATGATGATGATGATGATGATGATGATGATGATGATGATGATGATGATGATGATGATGATGATGATGATGATGATGATGATGATGATGATGATGATGATGATGATGATGATGATGATGATGATGATGATGATGATGATGATGATGATGATGATGATGATGATGATGATGATGATGATGATGATGATGATGATGATGATGATGATGATGATGATGATGATGATGATGATGATGATGATGATGATGATGATGATGATGATGATGATGATGATGATGATGATGATGATGATGATGATGATGATGATGATGATGATGATGATGATGATGATGATGATGATGATGATGATGATGATGATGATGATGATGATGATGATGATGATGATGATGATGATGATGATGATGATGATGATGATGATGATGATGATGATGATGATGATGATGATGATGATGATGATTATGAACCTTGATTATTCCAAGATGGAAGTTTTGAATCATGACAATAATCAAACTATAAATGAAATGAGTAACAAAGCATTAAGGTCAAATATATTTAACCTTTTGCTTTATACTCTTTGTATTTGCGTTTATTTATTCCTATTTTCACAATTATCCTGCTAAGATTATTGAAGTACAAGTTTGGTTTTATTCATCTTTTAGAAATTTAGCAAATCCTTATCATATCTTGATAGGACTCAGTATCTAAGTGTACAACTCGATGATGTTCAAAGTGAATGATACTGGGTTCGATTCCCAGAGTGAACATCAACTGACGAGTCTCGAATAGGATGCAACAAGCGTCCTGAATTCTAAGGCTAGGCAGTATATGATAGAAATTTGTATAAGTGAATATCATTTTAACAATTATGATGTAATAAAAAAAAATAATGTTGGTTAATATGTGAAATGTAAACTCATTAATTATATACCCCCAAATCCCCTGGTACGTCCGAGGGTGGAGAGAGTTAGCTCTCTCTTTCTCTCCTGAAACTCTCTCACATGACCATGAGTATACAGCCAGCGCTAGAGAAATTCTACTCATTAACTTCTTGAGGCACCGGTGTTGCTTACCAAATTGACAGGACGAAAAGCGAGTATCTGGAGGTTTCACCAGCTTTGTAGACATAGATGATCTGCCTAGGTGGGGGGGAGGTTAAAAAACCCTGATTCCAAACCAATAGTACACACGAGATCCACTATCCTCAAGAAACAAATGGCGTATGAACCAATTGTTGATCACCAACTACCATGAAACAGCGTTGACTCACTGTCTTTAGAGATCAAACCTTTAGATCGAAAGTTCCAGGTATGGCTCCCTAAGAACACCACTTGCTCTGGTCTGGGAACCCAGGCAATATTACAGCCTACATACAAATCAAATGAGTTGTATGGCATAGGATGTATCTATATGAATTATTAAACTATTCTACCTTGAATTTTCAACAGATTTCATGATAATCATCTGAGTTACTAAAGATTTATGTTACTAAGTCACACAAAAAAAAAATTTTCACTGTTTGTCACTTTTTATTATTTTACTAATATTAGAAAATTGATTAAGAAATAAAAATGAAGTATTCTAGGGTACTTTAATGTTACATAATAAACATTCATATAAGCAAAGATAGATAGTGGCTAGCAGTGGATTCCAGGACGCGCGTCACTTCGTCCTATTTCGGACTCGTCATCTGGATGTACCTGCATCACAACTTTCTGATGTTCATTCTGGGACTCAAACCTAGTACCGTTCACGTCAAATGCTATTGTGTTATCCACTTAGCTACTGAGTTCTGATAGCTACTTGCTTGTGCAATGGGGTAAAGTTTAGTTCAAGTAAATTAATATCAAGTGAATTAAACACTCATATACTTAAGTTATATATTTATCAAATAAAAATCGATCAATATGGTTACATAATATTTTGAGCAAATAATCAATCATGGATGTGTATTGCTGAAGAGTCCCGCAATAGGACGAAACGACCGTTTAGTTGAATGATTTAATCTAGGCAAATACAATCGGTTATGAATTACTTGTGAAGGATTTCTAGTAGATCAGTTTTATTGATTTTATTATAGTAGAATCATTTACGGTTAGTAACTAAATCTACTAATGAATGTGATATCTTCAGGTCATTTAATTTTGATGAAATTTGACTAGTAGTTATATTATTTAATACAATTGATAAAGTGTTATAACTGAACACTGAATTTTCAGTATTGGCGTTGTGGAGATTATTAAATTTTTGATTGAGTTCATGAATCGATTGATGTTAGACCACCATTGGAAACCTGGAAGCACTGGACGGCCGTTTCGTCTTAGTATGGGACAGGTATCTACCTCAGTACAATGGAAGATGATCGCGCAATTTCGTGGATTGATTGATGTTAGACACTAACACGATTGGATGCTGACTGGCTCAGTGGTCCAGTAGGTTAAGCGATCGCGCGCGAGACTGAAGGCCCTGGGTTTGAATCCCGCAAGCGGGATCGTGGATGTGCACTGCTGAGGAGTCCATACTAGAACGAAACGGCCGTCCAGTGCTTCCAGGTTTCCAATGGTGGTCTAACATCAATCGATTCATGATCTCAATCGAAAACTTTGAATTTTATAATTATCATTTTCTTTTGAACTTTAGTTATATCTAGTCATGGATTATTTTATATTACTTAGTAATGGATCATAAATTTACGGAACTTATTTACTTACTTACACCTGTTGCTCTTCATGGAGGAGAATAGGCTAATCACTCACATTCTCTATCAAACTCTGTTCTGGTTAATCCATTCCAGTTCTTCATAGTTGATATTCATCCATTTGATGTCTGCTTCCAATTTTCGACGTAATGTGTTCTTTGAACTTTCTCTTTTCTGTTTTCATTCACAATTCCAAGTTAGCGCTTACCTCGTGATACAGTTTGATAATTTGAGTAAGGTATGTTCTATCCACTTCCAACATCTTTTCCTAATTTGAAGTTGGTTTGTCTTCTTTCATAGAAGACTGTTGCTGATTGTATGTTTGGCCAATCGATAATGAGTATCTTAGATAGACAATTGTTTATAAATACATGTACCTTCTTGATGATGGTTTCTTTGAGTTCCAGCTCCGTAGAGTAGAACTGTCTTAACATTTATATTGAAGATTATGATTTTGATATCTTTTCCATTTATACTTCAATTGTAAGAATGAGACCCTTGTTTTGCAAGTCGTCGTATTCGATCCTCCTTATTCATCGATGATGCTTCCCAGATTCGTAGAAGACAATTAAAAATCACCATGTGCTAATTAATGATTCCATAATCATATTCAATTTCATTATCAATATCTACGTGAATGGAGAATCATGGTCAGCGGTTGATGCTCCTTCATGTGGGGTTACAGGAGTAAGTAAGTCGTAATTGAATGGAAGATCTTCAGAGTTGTGATTCAGGAAATCATATTCAATTTCAATAATGTATATTTTCTAAATTAATTAATCAAATATTATTGATTGATTTTATTGATTTTTAAATCCAATATAATCAATTAAATATTGAATCCTTCTTATTATTGTTATTATGAGTGTCCTTAATATCAGATGAGAATAAGATCAATTTCAGTTAATAATAATGATCAGATAGGAAGCACTAACGACATAGAAAATAATAATGTAGATGTTAAATCAACTCCTCCTGGAGCCCTTCTGAGGCTACTGTCGGTCTCAAGCTCGGATAAATGAGGAGGGTTCAGGATGGGGTTAGCGACACCATCCCGTAGAAAACTAACTCGCTAAAAAAAGAGTGCCAACCAGATGTTAAGTGCCTAGAATAATTTTTCTGGTTGTCGTTTTTATTCTAGGGACAATATTCTAGTAGAGGCATTGAAAACAGATGTACCAATAACTGCAAAGATACTTGACATTCTCTTCAGATAGATTTTGAATGAAGAACAAGTATTAAACAGACTGGAAAGAAGGATAAAACTAGAAAGGAAAGCCCATGACAGAGTGGGTTGGAGAATGCTGATCGGCGGCCTATGCTCCATGGAGAGTAACAGGCGTAAGTAAGTAAGCAAGTAAATCCCTAGAAATCACTTAGTTAGTAATCTTCTTATTTCCATATTAATATTTCGTATGGAAAAGAACGAACTAAGCGAAGAGATTTCTTTTCACACTTAGTTTTTCATTATAGTCTTACACTTGTGTAAATTTCAATTCCTTAATTTCGAGGCCGAAAGCATCCATTATTACCTTCAAGTTATGCTTCCTACCTGGAAGGTTCTATAACATCATTGTGGAACGCTTTCTAAAGACATTTTTGTAATGTATCTATTAAACATGAGTTAAGTGTTTATTGTATGGGGCGGAAAACTGGAGAACTATGAAAGTCATCATCCAGAAGATTTTCTAAGCAAAATACTTCGGATCTGTTGGCCAGACACTATTAGCAACAACCTACTATGGGAGAGAACAAATCAGATCCCAGTAGAGGAAGAAATCAAGAAGAACTGCTGGAAGTGGATAGGAAACACATTGAGGAAATCACCCAACTGCATCACAAGACAAGCCCTCACATGAACTCCTCAATGGTAAAGGAGGAGAGAAAGATCGAAGAACACATTACGCCGGGGAATGGAAACAGACATGAGAAGAATGAACAACAATTTTGATAGAACTAGAAATAAAAGGGGCTCAGCAGAGAGTGGATTGGAGAATGATGGTCGGCGGCCTATGCTCCTCCATTCAGAGTAACAGATGTAAGTAGGTAAGTAATTGTGTGAGGTTTCATTCCTTTAATTAACAGACTTAAATCTTAATGGAATAACTTAATTTCTTCCTATTATTAAACTTTTAATTTTAATTCCATTCTCTGATATCAATTTCATCATAATCAAGCATATTCTAAATATTTAAACCTATCGCTAAAATGAAAATCAATATTAACTAGGTTAACCGCTCAAGGTCATCCAATCATGTGTCACTATGACTCATTCAAATATGATTGGTTAATTACAATATAAATATCGATCGATATATATCATTAACCTTTTATTGAATAAATAAAACAATGAATGATTTTTTATTGGAAATCAATAAATCAAATGGTAAGATTATAATATGAATGAACGGATGAATTCGATTTAAAATAATTGATCTTGAATTTTTGGCGCGAAATTCATTGATCTATGTCATCGTTAAATTGTTTCTTAACAATTGAACTGATGATGAAAAACTTGTAAATCTAATTGCTAATACCAATGATCAATCATGAATTATCATCTATATTTGTCACATTGGTTTATAATGATTATTTGATTCTAATTAGTAGATAGATGATCTCAAGGTGATTTTGACATAGTTCTAAGGTTGTAAATAAATGATAGTCTGACTGTTTAATAGTTGAATTCATGAGTCATTTAGAGCTAGACTACAATGGAAAACATGGAAACCACTGGACGACTATTTCATTGTAGAATGACACTTCTCAGTAGTGTGTATCCATGGTCCTGCTTGTAGGATT